TCACCGAAGCAAGTCACGTGGCTATGTTCAAAGACAGTGGGGAGTGAAGGATATTCTGCCCACAATAAGCTAAGACAAGGGCAGGAAGCAAAGAAAGAATTGTGAGCGAATCATAAAGTGTACTACAGCTCTCTACTTCACACCACACATAATATTTCATCTTAAAGGCTTAAAGACATATATATAAAAGGCAAAGTTATGAAACTTTTAGGAGAATATCTTTATATCCTTTGTGTCATAAAGGAATTCCCAAGTATGATACATAAAAACAGAAACTATAAAAAACTGATAATTTCAACCTTATGATTTTAAAACGTCTGTTCCTCAGGATTTCAAACTGAGATACAACATTTACAACAAATGTCAATGGCAAAGAATAGTATCAGAATACACAGAGCGCCCTTCTGAGTAAACAAGAAAAACAGACTCATACACATGGCAAACTTGGTATCTGGCAGAAGTGACATTACAAATCAGTGAGAAAAATCTGAACCACTCGGTACAAGGTGCTGAAACAACTGGCCACCTAAGTGGGAAAAGGTAAAATGACATTCTCCATTTCACACAAAATGCCAAAATAAGTCTGGATCATTTAAAAAGTTACAGATAACATGCATCATTTTATCATTTTAAAAGAAAATGTAGAGTTCATTATGCACTGCTTAAGGAAATAGTGTTTCAAATGAATACTGAAATGTGAAGTCATAAAAGGGGCAAATTTGACTAGCTTAAGAAAAAACAAACTTGTATAAGCCAAAAATCCCCTAAATGAAGTTGAAGTTGTAGACCTGAAGAAGGTATTTTCAACAGGTGTCACAAAGGATAAATATCCAGACCATTTAAAAGATGTCTTTATACATGACAAAAGACCAGAGGGAACATGACAAGGCACACTGGAGGACAAGAAGCCTCCCCTGGACGAGCCACACAGTGGGGTGTGGGGCGTGTGTGCGCGTGCACACCTGCGCGCTACTGTCCACACGTTTGCATAAGCAGTTCCTTTCACTTAGGATGCCCAACTTCATGAAATTAGTTCTTCCTTCCTTTATGCTTCTCTGTCACATTTTACGTTCATTAGACAAGCTCTAAAATATCACAATTCATTACGATTAGTAAGCTCGGGCATCCCTTACAGAGTACCACAGACTGTGGGGCTTAAACAACAGAATTTCTCCCAGTTCTGGAGCCTGGCAGCCCCAGCTCAGAGTGCCAGCCGGTTCAGCTCCTGATAACAGCTCTCTCCTTGGCCTGCAGACAGCCACCTTCTCTGTGTCCTCACGTGGCCTTTCCTTTCTGTGTGCACTCATAAAAGAAGACCCCTCTCTTTTTCTTTTTATAATGCCACCAATCCTTTCAGATTAGGACCTCACCCTTATGACTTCACTTAACCTTAATTACCTCCTAAAAGCCTTATCTCCAAATAGTCACATTGGAGGTTAGGGCCTCATCTTATGAATTGTGGGTGGGGGAGGCTATACAGGTCAGTCCTGGCAAGAATTCTACCTCCCCAGTCCTATTTTAGTAAGCAGGTCTTTGAGATCTGTACAAGTCTTTCCACATTTCCTACAAGTCTACCTCTGCCCTGGGTATAGAATAGCAAGACGAGTGTTTGATTGTTGCCAGACTATTCCTGTAGATAAATCTAAGGAAGGGGGTGAAAGACAGAATTCTAGAAGGCAGTATGATATAATCCTAGAAAATGGAGGAAAAAAGATAAGCAAGCATTCCAAGATGTTTTTCAATTTTCACCAAGTAGGAGGTGACGCCATTCTCTTTAAAGCGGAGGGAGATGTAAAATCAGATGCTCAGGGCTCCCAAAGGGAGGGCATTTGTGGCCTAATTCTTGGTCGATGTTATCACCATCTGGGTGGGCCCACTGTCCAGTCTCTGTCTTTTCTCAGAAGGGTTGCTGGGTCTCAGAAGGATGCTCACAGGGCTGGTCTTTCGGTGGCCACAGGCACTCACAGATCCAAGGGTGTGCCGCCTTACCTAAACTCAACTTGAAAACCTTTGTGCTTCACCGCAAGAGACAAAGTTGCAAATAGCCTCAGGAGCTAGAAATAGGTGCCAACAGAAACCAAAAAACAAAGAGAACACACTCATAGCACAGTGCCCTACAAGGACCCCTCCTCAGCTCCTGGTGGTGGCAGCCCCTGCACACGGCCCCAGCAGGCAGCAACCATCAGCTGCTTCACCGTCGTCACCTCCCACTGCTCCATGCAGGGGCCCCAGAGAACGAATGTGTGATCTGGAACTCGGAGTCTGCAGCCTGGCTCAGGTTTACAGCTGACAGCAGGATGCAGATGTTCACTTACACTCAGTAAATGATCACTGAGTGCCACTTGGTGCCCAGCACTGGGCCAGGCACTGGGAACAGAAAGGCAAACCAGAAAACTCGGCTTCTTGCTGTTGCAGAGCCTGTAGACAGCTGCAGGATTGTGGCGCTTAGTTTTGTGTGTTGACCTAGTTTGGCTATAGTACCCAGTTATTTATTCGGTTACCTACATGTTGCTGTGCAGATACTTTGTGCACGTGGTTAACATCTTCAATTGTTGCCTTCACTAAAAGTGTTCGCTCTAGATAAAATGGGTGGGTCTAACACAATTAGTTAAAAGACCCAAGCAAATAGAGAACAGGCTGACAGTGTCCAGAGGGGCAAGGGGGAGGGAATTTCAGGGGAATTTCAGGGGAAAAGGAGAAGGGTTTACAGGAACAAGTATAAAGGACACAAGGACAAAAACTAACTAGGGGGAGGTGGAAATGGGAGGGAGGTGGGGAGGGCTGTGTGGGTGGGCTGGGATGGGAGTAAAAGATATAAAATTGTACTTGAATAATTTTAATTAATTCATATCTTTAATTAAAATAAAATTAAAAATAAATAAACAAACAAACAAATTTTTTTTAAAAAGACCCAAGCAAAACGGATTGTTCCCTGAGGAAAAAGAAAGGTGGCCTGAGACTGCAGGACACCCAACTGCCTGCCCAAGAGCACGAGCCTGCGGTTCTGCCTGACTGAACAGCACTTGCCAGCTCCCACAGTTGCACAGGCCTATTCCTTGACATAAATCTCTTTGTGTTTGTTTGCATACATGCTAGGTATACGGACATTTTTATAGATATATTTCAAGAAATATAACTATGATATGTAAATACGTATGTCTCTCTCCTGCCGGTTTTTTCTCTCAAGAACCCCAACTGATACAAGGAGACTCAGACACACGAGGAATTTCCAGGCAGTGTGGGTGCTTGACAGCGTAAGCCCAAGTCAAAATCTTGGAGCTATCACGTATTAGATACACCATGACCTTTGACCAGTTCCTATACTCTCAAAGCCTCCATTCCCCATCTGTAAATGAAGATAAATGTCCCTCATAGGGTTATTGCAAAGGGTCAAAGGGATTAAGTATCTTGGCCAAGAACACACAGCCAGTGAGTAAGAAGCCACAATTCACACTCGGGTCTGCCTCCAGTGCGGGTACCCTTCGCCCTCTGCCCATCACCTTGCTACCCGCTCTTCAGCTGTTTGCTCTTTAACAGACACTTTTGCCACAGACAGCTCCATACATTGTTACTATTTCAAATTTGCTCTACAGAAATGCCTGTCAAATATATACCTTTTCCCAATGCTTAAGTAGAATTCCAGGTTTCCATCCCACTCTGATACTTGGCTGTGACAACTGGCTTCAAACCCAACATATCTTAAATTCAAAGTCATCTTCTCCCTCTACTCCCACCCCTCCATTGGTTGACAAGTCCTGGCTTCGCCTCTCTCTAGCGGTATGACCCTGGGAAAGCTACTGGCCCTTTAATCCGCAGTGTTCTCGTTTGTTCAAAGGGGTGGGTGTGTTTGGTGGTATGAGGAAGGCTGGCATGTATCACAGATAGTTCCTGCATTTCTGTGTCCGCAGTACCTATCTCAGTGTCCGGTACATTGTGGGTACTAAATATATTAGTGTATTTATTCATTCAGCATCTGTTCATTCATCAGCACTGATTTTAATTAACTGCACAACAGGAAACATGGATTTAGTCCTCATGCACTACTTGCAGGCTAATTTTCCAGGAAAACCATCATTCCCCATTAGACAAGTAAATAAGGTACAGCAATGTAGCTGTTTCATATGCAGTTTATGTTGGTGTGCTGCCATCTAGTGGACAATGTGCAAGTTACAAATACGAAGATTCCACAGCACAGTTGAATTTCAATAATCTGAAGAACATGACAGGATGTGTATCAAATATTTAAAAATTATAAATGAGCCCTGGCAGGCATAGCTCAGTGGATTGAGCGCAGGCTGGGAACCAAAGTGTCCCAGGTTTGATTCCCAGCCAGGGTACATTCCTGGGTTGCAGGCCATAACCCCCAGAAACCGCACATTGATGTTTCTCTCTCTCTATCTCCCTCCCTTCCCTCTCTAAAAAATAAATAAATAAATAAAATCTTTAAAAAAAAATTATAAATGAATGTTACAGTAAGTTACCAGCTCATTGTCTTATGATCTATAACTTGTTCTAAGTGAAATAAAAAAGAATCCACATGCTTTCCTGTAACTGACTGCTTTGTTCTCTTTGAATTCTCCATGCCATAGATTGGAAGTGAGTCTAAATTAAAGAGAAGACTTCTGATGGCCCTACCTTTAATTAGCTAAGCAATTCTGTTCTACTTTCTGAATGAGTTACCATTACCAAGTGCTTGCCATGTGTTTGAGACTAAACTGAGTATTTACGTGGCTTATCTATCTCATTTAATCCTTAGGGACCTCTCCCTCCACCCCCCACACTAAAGGGTAGGTAATGTTACTTATGACTCTCAGCTTACTGCCTCGTCTGTAACGGTGGGATGAGTAGCTTGTTCAAAGTCAAAACCAGGATGCAGAACTGGATCCACAACCAGGGTTGGCATGACTCAAACACAAGTTCTTCACGACCACATCTTCCTCCATGCAACACCTCCTGCTTTCTAAGAAGGCTATGAGGATGAAATGAGCCACATAAAAAACTTTTTGGAAAAAGCACAATGTTTGAATGCTTATATGACAATGTTAACACCACAAAATAGGTATAAAATGCTTTATGATCTATTGGGACAACCATTTACTTCACAAAAGTATTCAGTAAGGATTGTTTTTCCTCAGTGGCAATGTCTCCTCTTTCATTGATTTTAGTCATTTTAGTCTTTTTTCCTAGTCAGTTCCTTCCTTTTCTTTCCTTTGGGTTTACTTTCTCTTCTTTTTGTAGTTTCCTGAGGTGAAAGATTAGACTATTGATCTGAAATCTCTTCTGGTATTTTTTAAGACTACTTTTTAGACTACTTTAGATTCACAACAAAATTGAGAGGGTGATACAAAATTTCCCATACACTCTATACATCCACAGCCTTCCCTGTTGTCAACGTCCCCAACACTAGTTACAATCAGTGAACCTACAGTGACACATCATAATCACACTAAGTCCATGCTGTACCTTAGGGTTCACACTTGGTGCTGTACATTCTGTGAATTTGGACAAACATATAATGACATCATCCCAGTATTATAATATCACACAGAATATCTTACTGCCCTAAAAATCCTCTATGCTCCATTCCCCTCTCCACCCCAATTCTTAGCAACCAATGATAATTTTACTGTCTCCATAGTTTTGCCTTTTTCTGAATATCATACAGCTGAAATCATACAATATGCAGCCTTTTTAGATTGGCTTCTTTCACTTACTAATATATACATTTAAGGTTCCTCCATATCTTTTCATGGCTTGATGGCTCATTTCTTTTTAGTGCTGAATAACATCTCACTGTCTGGAGGGACTAAAGTTTCTTCATTCACCTACTGTAGGACATCTTGGTTGCTTCCAGTTTGGGGCAACTATGAGGAAAGCTGCCGTAAACATCCATGTGAAGGTTTTTGTGTGGACATAAGTTTGAAATAAATTGAAATAAATACCAAGGAGCCCTAACCAGTGTGGCTTAGTTGGCTGGGCATCATACAGCAAAGCAAAAGGTTGCTGGTTCGATTCCTAATCAGGGCACACACCCAGGTTTTGGGCCAGATCCCTGGTTGGGGGCATGAGAGAGGCAATCAATCAATATTTCTTTCACACATCTTAAGAAAGAATAAAAAGACATTAGAGACAAGTATTTCCTCTAAAAACAGTAATGTACCCTAATGAATCTTCCTGTAACCCATGTTTCCTTGGGCAAGTCACTCACTAACCTGAAGCTCCATTTCATCACCTGTACAAAGGTCTCACAAAACAGATCTGTCACGAGGATCAGATGAGACTACACGTGTCAAAGTGCTTTGTAAACAGTAGAGTTTTATACAAATATAAAGTTATGCACCTTCAAAGCTAGCACTCCAATTAAACAAAACAGCTTTTACAAATTTTTAACAATGTATAAATACACTAACAAAATAATCTGTTGATTAAGACTCCAGCAAAGTTTAAGTATACCTACAAGAGAATTTACAGATTCTATAAGCTTCTAGACTGTTACATATATTGCTTTTTAAGAAATATTAATACAAATGCATGATTTATAATATCCCTACTACAGCAAGAAAAAGATTCATAAAATAAAATGTCTTTTAGACATTTATTATGCCACATATTTAAATGATTATTCTTACTATGACATAAGAATAATACTCTTTTGGTGGTAAAAGACAGATTTCATTAGGCCAAATACCACTGAAGCTCTTCCAGGAAGTTCCAAGTAAAGTCTGACTACCCTTCCTCAAAAATGAACAGAACAGCCTAGAACAATCTCTAGGCATCCCTTACACACAAACTGTGAAGATTCATTTATATCAATTGGGACAAAAATACATGACTTGTTACAAATAAAAATAAATAAAATTTTACAAACTACTTCACACCACTGACTCAAATTTGGTTTTAATCTGCCTATGAATGCTTAGGATAAGAAATTTCATCATGAGTATATATTAAGCTGTAAAATTAATAATTATTTCTAACTTATACATAAGTCAAAGCGCTCACCCTTACCATGGAAACAAAACTTACTTCTGAAGATAATCTACAGAAATAATATATAAACACGTAAGACTTTTGAAATGAGATTAAGAACATCCTTCTATGTTCTACGGATCAAAATGCAAAGGTCTTCATTACATATGTACATGAACATAAACACTTTCACTAAGTGCAATACATGGACATTACATGACTGTGTGCGCACAGGCACACCGTGAACCCACCTCTGATAATGCTTCTAGCAGCATATTTTCAAGCCCCAAATGCTACAAATAAAAACCTAATATGAAAACCACGTTTTGGTTTTTTTTAAGTAAATTTTAAAATGAACAAACAAACCCAACACTCCTCTCTGCAACATGTACTGAGTTCTAAAATGTTCCGAGTCAAGAATCTCTTCAGTTCTCCCAATGTAACAGAACACATAGGCTTTCTCTCTCTCCTCAGGAGGTCTGATCATCTCCAGTGTTCTGCAAAAGAGTAAGAACTCCTTAATAAAAAACAAAGCTATTTTACTTAACATACCAGACTTCAAAGCACTAGGAAAATATTCTGTATTTGTATGCAGAGCTAGCTATTATATTAACTTACATTCAATGGCCCAATTAGGTTAAAAATTACAAATATGTTAGAGAAGCAAATCAATAGATCCATCCAAATGTACAGCAAGCCAGTCTCATTTTAGCAAAGCATCACCAGGTGCCATGTAAGCCTACTAATCCTATACATGTTGTGTCAGGCTCACCTGTATGCAACGGCCACCCCACTTCAGAAACACTGGAAATCCCAAGGGAAAAACCCCACTGAAGCACACACTTGACAACTAGCACAAGGTGGGCCACAGCAAAGATATACTGGGACTGCGCAAAAACCCTCGGGAGGAGAATCATGTCCCTACAAGAATATTCGTTTTCCCTACTTCTTTATACAAGAGAAACTGTACAGTAGAGTGAAAAGAACAATGGCTTTCAAGAGAGGAGAGCCAAATTAAGCCCTAGTTTTATACCACTTATTAGCTGTATATACTTGAGTAGGAACTTCATCTCTCAGGGCTTTAGTTCTCTAAACACAGTCCTTGGACCAGCTGCATCAGTACCCACTGGGGACATGCAAATTATGAGACCCCCCTCCCAGATTCACTGAATAAGGAAGCTGGGAGGTGTGACCCAATGATCTGTGTTTTAGCCTCTAGGTGATCCTGATACACGCTCAGGTCTGAGCACCACTGTCCAGCACGACACTGCTTGCCTAACCTACCACATGCAAACCAAGATGCCATCATTTTTCCCAAGAGATTTAACAAATACTGCTTATCCCACTGAAAACCCTGATTTAAATAGTCGTATTAAGGAACTATAATAAGACCTGTATGTTCTAAAAAAAAAAATCTAAATTCTTTAAAACAATCTTTAATCTTATGTTGCTTCTACTCGTTCTTACTATACAAACCCTAAAACCATGCAACAGCAGTCTTCAAAACTTCTGGAGCCACTATAATTAATGAAAAGCTACTGAACTTAAGATACTTTAAAAAAAATAAGTTGTTATCAATGACAGTTTATCTCTCTGGTTTTAAAATATTTTCAGGACACTGACAATACATTTCTAGAATGTCCTAAAGCCTCCCAAAAGTAATCAAAGCATCTTTATCATCATGATCTCATACTTAAATAGGTACCTTAAAAAACTTTAAGCATTTCATAAAAATGAAACTCTACACAAGTTAGAAATCACTGCATTAGTCACGACCACATCAAACTCACACCTCCCATCCAGAAAACACTTACTTGTCTTAAGAACTGCTTTCCCAGATACGATGTGGCCATGCTGGTCAGATTCTTCCTGCTGCCCACTTTGCACCTGATGTAGCCATATAGGTTGGCACCTTGTAAAACCACACCCATGGTAACCACTGCCTGGGGAAGAGAAAAATAATCAATGGATGGTTACTGGCCTAAATTTGATTAACCTTTCTCTATGCCATGAGACAAGGCAGAGTATCACAGGAAAAAGAAAAGGAAGTTCTACAATGGGGGTATTGCTCCAAGAAGACTGCTTCACTTGCCAGAGCAGATTGACCCAACATATGCTCTGCACAAGGCACTACATCAGCCACCCAGCAGATACTTATTAAACACATACGCTGTATGAAGGCACCAGGCCAACCCCGGGAATGCAGTGGGGGTGCCATTCTGTCTCCATTTTCCAAGGGCCCGTGTATAAAGATATAAAAAAAGTAAATGAGACTGAGAAGAGGCTCAAATGTTAATTACTCCTTAAAGAACTACTTACATAAGAATGGTCAAGAAATAGATCAAATTCAGTAAGCTAAGCGCATGCAGAGGTGAATCTCTGCTCTACTCTGTGTGTCTCAGCTGGCTCCCAGGAGAGCAAATCTGTGCCTCTGGGTCGCCATCAGCAGGTGTGTCTGTCTTCTGAGAGAGGGGGGCAGATGGGGTGAAGGGGCTGGAGCACTAGGAGGAAGTACACTTTGGCAGCCTTGCTGTTTCTTGGTGGGTACCTCAGGGATCCTACAAATGACCCCACTAAGATCATTCAGGACTGAGAATGAAAAAATACTACTCTTAAACATTAAGAAAATAAAGTTCATTAGGGCAAAGTAAGGAGAGCGCATGATTAAATATTCTAGAATGAGCTGGCAAAGTTTTCATGTAAAGCAGGGCTGTCAAATTCATTTTCCCCGGGGGGCCACATCAGCCTGGCAGTTGCCTTCAAAGGGCCCAATGCAATTTCATTTCCTTAACAGTTAAGGAGTAGTTACATTTATACAGTCCTAAGATTACATCTGGCCCGTTGGGCTGATATGGCCCCACTGGGCTGATGTGGCCCCACTGAAAATGAGTTTGACGCCACTACTGTAAAGGGCCAGGCCACTAACATTTTGTGGGTCATAAAATCTCTGTTGCAATCACTCAGCTCTGCCATTCAAGCCCCAAAGCAGCCAGAGACAACATGCTGTTCCAAAGGAAAGTTTTCAAAAACCTGAGTGGGGCTGAATCTGGCCTGCAGGCCATAATTTGCCAACATGTTCTTGAAAAAAACCAAGTTACCAATTTGTCTGCTAGTGAAAGGATTACCTAGGGAACATTTACACCTTTAAAAAGTGAGATAGCTGAAAAGAACTTCTTTTTCCAATCCAGACTTACTGTCCTTAACGGGCTGTACAGGTGATTTTAAGGAGATGAGAGGACTTAAATGTTTCAATTAAGGAATAGGTTCAAATCTTTAGTAAAGGAAGTATGTAGAGTTGTACTTTCTGTTTTAAATGTATGTTTCACAGAAATAAACACATTAGAATTATATAAGGTTGCTAGTTACCTAAATAAACTTAAAACTATGTTTTTATTGAAACAGATTTCCTTCCACTTCCCATAGTTCTCAAATTGGGACACTCCTGGTAAGTGTCACCAACATGCCAGGGCCCCTGAGTGCACAGACTGAGTATGAGTAGCACCAAGGCATCAATGTTATCCAATGGCAATGGACCTGAAAATGTATTTTTAAGTTAAAACAAGCAGAATTCTGGTTTACAATGGCGTAGTAAAGCCAGATAACAAGATCTCCCTCCCACTAAGATATAAATAGCAAACAAACTTTTTTTAAGGGCACAAAAGCTGGTACCAATAAATATAAAAAAGGGCTGGCTGTCAGAGAAAGGGCCAGCTTGGTGTTGCTCTATATAGCTCCTAACTGTCCAAAGAAGCTTGAAGAAAAAGTTTTACTAATAATCAGCACGCCTAAAAACTCAGAGGCAAAAGGCCAGAGGAAACAGATAACCCTAAGAAGAAAATGCAGAAACAGATATGAAAGCAGCAGCCCCTTCCAACCCAACTGAGGCAGGAAGGTCCCAGCAACTTGACATTTGATGCCCCCTTGTTTGGGGGGTAGGGGAGAGGAGGACAAGGAGGAGAGGAAGCACAGAAGGACCACCAGTCATCAAGTGGAAGACCTTAAGGGAACAAAAAGTGGGAGAGACTCGTGAAGAGCCTGGGTGAGGCCACCTTCCAACCCCGAGGTTTTAACGTGAGCCCAGACTCCTTTTTTCATTGCCTTCGCCAGCTCGGGTTTAGGGAAGTAGAACACTGCTAAAGAAAGACTGAGCTTTTTAGTCTGATGTAGTCCCATCTGTTCATTTTTCCCTTTGTTTCCATTGTCCTGGGAGACATATCGGCAAAAATAATGCTCCCACAAACATCTGAGATTTTAACTACCTATGTTTTCTTGTAGGATCTTTATAGCTTGGCGACTTACACTTAGGTCTCTTATCCATTTTGAGTTTATTTTTATGTGTGGTATAAGTGTTGGGAACCGCCCTGACTGGTATCAGAAGCTGAAACCCCCACCTAGGCTAAGGCTAAGGGAACGCCCTTGGAACCATAAGCCAGCAAGGAGACAAAAGCTTATCTTCCTGGCAGGAATGCTGCTTCTGCTGCTTTATTCATAACTGAACCCCCAAAAAGCTTGGTCGGTTAGCCAAAGACGGGTAAGATTCCCCACGGGGGAACGACCTAAGACAGGCACGATCACTTTGGGAGGCACCCCCAAAAGAAGGACTTGGGGGGCTGCAGCAAAAAGGGGGTGATGGACCCTCGCTCCTCGGCTTTGACATAGCCTGAGTTCTCAGCATCTGGGGAAAAAAACCTCCTTGTCTCCCAGTTGCCTTAGTTCCCTTGCTCCACCTAAGCCTGAAACAATGACAGGGTGGTGCAGCTTGGTACTGAGAAGTGCGGATTCCCCAGGGTGATCAGGCCTAAGAAAGAACATATAAATTACTGTGAAACCTCCTTTGTTTAGAATGCTCTCAGTTGAATGAGAAGGGTCTTAGGAGGAAGTTATTTTGTTCCTCAGTCTTACAGCTCTTTGACCCCCAACTCAATAGACCGGCAGAGTTCTTTGTTTTCTATGGTTCCTTACTTCCCCCTAATGAGTACTGTACTTTACCTGAATTATTATGCAAAATGAGCCCAATAAAAGCAGGTATGGATGGTAAATCGGCGCACTCCCCACTAGGGGGGGTGGCCATTTCGTCCCTACTTCCCCACAGAAACTAGTCTGTCTCTGTGCATGTGTTGTTTTTTCTCGCGTGTTTATCGTCGAGCCATCCACAGCGTTCCGTGGTCACTGCTGGCCGGTGACCCATGCGCAACATATAAGTTGGTGGTCTAGTTTCATATTTCTGCATATATTTGTCCAATTTTTCTAACACCATGTATTGAAGAGACACCAATTCGAAAGAATATATGCACTTTGTTCATAGCAGCATTATTTACAATAACCAAAATCTGGAAACAGCCCAAGTGCCCATCAGTAGATGAGTGGATAAAAAAGGTGCATTTATACAATGGAATACTACACAGCCATAAAAAAGAAATCCTTACTGTTTGCCACAGCATGGATGGACTGGGAGAGTGTTATGTGAAGTGAAATAAGCCAGTCAGAGAAAGACAAGTACCATATGATCTCACTTATATGTAGAATCTGATGAACAAAATTAAATGACAAACAAAACAGAAACAGAGGTATAGACACATGGAACAGACTGACAACTGTCAGAGGGGATGGGTGGGGGTGAACTGTATGAAAGAAGGTGAAGGGATTAGAGAAAAAAACATATATGATGACCCATGGAGAGAGACGACAGTGTGGTGATGGCCAGAGGGAAAGGGGAGCTGGGGTGGGAGAGGGAGGGCAAAGGGGAGGAAAACGGGGACATCGGCAAGAGAGTCAACAGTAAAAATAAAGGAGGAAAAAATAAAAGAAAGACTGGGCTGTCTCTCCCAGATGGATGCTAAGGCTCCGGGGCCTCATAAAGGGTCTAAAGCAGAAGAGACCCAGAACAGAACACATGCCCAACCAGGAAACAAGAACTCCACTTCATAAAAAGAGGCAAAACCCAAGCAAGCCAGCCCAGGCAGCCACAGGCCTGGCTCTGTTCTCTTCCTCATGCTCGTGCCTCAGACCCCTGAAGCCTAGCTCACAGCGGAGCCCAGATACCTCCGATACAGGGGACGGCAGTCAGGGGAAATCACCCACACTAAACCAGCATAAAGAGAAGGTCCGGGCAGAGCTGCCTACAAGCCGGAGCAAAATGGAGAGGGACAAAGGGAAAGGCGTCTCTGAAATACTATAGCAAATAAGTGAAAATAAAGATCATAGTGTGCAAGAGATAGGTTAAGAATCTATTCTGAAAGAAATACAGTCCATCAAAATAAAAAGCATTCCTGGGAATACTTCGACCTATGCAAGAATCTGAAAGTAAGAACTCAGAGAGAATGAAGGTAAGATAACATAACAGGAGGAGAAGATAATGAAGCTGGCAGAGCTAAGGACATACAGAAAGAAGCCTTCGCCAACCCAAAGTAGCCCGTTACTCTCTCCCTTGCACACTCCACTCTTACCTTGTATCATTATCAAAGAGCCTCTCCTCCCTTACTTACTGGGTGTCCACATTACACTCCCGGAGAACATAAGGTCTGCCAGAGCAGTTTCCTTGTTTATCCATCTGCTGACAATATCCCCAGTGCCAAGAACAGGTCTGGCATATAGAAGACTCATAAAAATATTTGCTAAGTGAATAAAGAGAAGAAAACTTGAGAGCTCAAAGCAATTACAGATGGTAGATGAGAACAGACAAAAATGATCCAACAGAGATAACCAGTACCTCAGAATCAGAGAAACCAAAAAATAGAACATAAATAAATGTAAAGACTTAACAGAAGACAATTTTCCTGATTCAAAGCAAAGTCTGCACCTGCATGTTAGAGGAGCACACAGTTTCCAGAAAAATCAATCTAGAAAGAAACACAAAGGCATTCTGGTTATGATATTTTAAAACTTTAAGAATAATAAAAAAATTCTTTGTCCAGGGAGAAAAATGATTCACTCACTTACATGGAGGTTAAGTAAGCCTGGCCTCAGATTCCTCTGCAAAAATTGATAGAAGAAAATAATGAAATAATGTCTTCTAAATGACAAAAGAAGCTGTGACCCAAGAATATTCACCGAGCCATGTTGTCATTCAAGAATAAAGTCAACAGGCTCATTTTCTTAAACATGACAGAGCCAAAGGAAAATAACACTTAGAAGTTTTTTGAAAAAAATCACCCAGCAATGAAATGTAGCTAACCATTCAGGAGGTAAAAGGAAAAGCTCCAATAAAAAGATTCCATCAATGTATTTTAAAATACTATCGGCAAAGACTGAACAAACAGTCCAAAATATAGTTCAAAAGGTAATTGTTACAAACCTTGACAGCAAAAATAAAGCGAACAAAAAAAACTCAGACAATAGAAAGGGAAGAAACAAAAGAGAGAGCCTAAGAGTATTTCACTTCCTTTCTAAACAGTCTGTTAAGTCAATAAGCAGGTTTAAGTGTATTGCTTAAAATAACTAAAATAAAACTACACAGTCAAACTTTGAGGAGTAAAAAGTTTTACGCAGATTTTCGACTGCACAGGGGGTGAGCACCCCTAACTCCCATGTTGTTCAAGGGCCAACTGTATGATCAACAAAAATACAGAGGTGGAAGCAGGGAGGAAAGGTGGGAGAAACCATGAGTGTTAACCTGACCATCCCCATACCACAGCCAGAAATCAGATATGAGGCACTTTCTAATTCATGAAAGACTGTATGATACAAACATGTAATTAAGATCAATATTAGAAAAACTGAAAGTAGACAATAAGCCTTCCAAATTGCAAAAAAAGATTTATGTATATGTACATACAAAGAAAAAGAGAACCTATACAGCAAAACAGAGATAAGAAAAGAAGAAAAAAACATCAGTAAGGCCAAAATATATCTGCTATCAACAATTAAGTGAGACAAACTTTACTAAAAGAATAAGACTCACGGTCTGGGGCAAGTAACAGATTACATTTTCCAAAGATGGTAGCAACAATATCTCCTGGTCCACATGCTCTTCTAGAAGCTCTTTAACACCTACCTCCACCTCCCACCAATCAAGGTGCAAAGCCCAATTCCCAACCCCTTGAACATGAATAGGTGGCAAAGTGGTGCTGTGCCGACTTCTGAGGCTAGGCTGTTGTTATGGGCTGAATCGTGTCCCCTAAAGTGCATACGTTAAAGTACTACCCCCAGGATTCCCAAATGTGATTACATTTAAAGATGGGTCTTGAAAGAGGTAATTAAAATAAGATGAGGCCACCAGAGTGGGCCCTAATCCATACGCCTGATGTCCGTATAAGTAGAGGAAAAGAGGACACAGACACATGCACAGAGGGAAGACCATGTGAGGATCCAGGGAGAAGATGGCCATCCAGGCTCAAGAATCAGAGAAACTGTGAGAGACCATAAAATGACTGTTGATGTTTTAAGCCACTAAGTTTTGACAAGATTTACTATATAAGTAATAGACAGCCAGAACAGGTTACCAAGCAATATTTTCAAAAAGACCACTCTGTTAGTTCCAAATTAAGCTAAAAATGTTTGTTCGGAGTTTACTGAACATCTCGTCCAACAAGATAATGTGATAAATACAGTCATCTCTCTACAAGGTGGGTTCAATTAAAATTATGCTGAGCACCTGGAAAACTGGTGAAGCGAGGTCTTTAACACAGCTCCGCTCAACAATACTTAAAAAGCAGACTGGGAAATCAAACTTGGGAAATACATGATCAAGCTGCCTATTCAACATAGGTCCCGAAAGTTGGCCTAGACGGTTGCTTACTGAGATTAGCCCTCGGGCACCTTAATGGATTACTCCCTATAGCTCTGCCCTGATACTCACCAACCACTTCACTCTGAAGGAGAAGAGAGCACTAAAGGCGAATATCACCCACAGCACAGGGCAGGCAACAAGCCCTAACCAGAAGATTCTCGACTCAGCCTCTGAAACAGTTTTATTCTCTTGAGAGGATGCCTGTAAAAGAACATGAATTTAATAACCAATGTTTTGTGATATCAGTATGAAGTTTTACACTTTTAATGAAAAACATCTTACCCTCAAATTCAAATAAATTAACACAGACATCCCAAGTCCTAAGTCAGAAACTCCCCCTCCACCCCCCCAAAAAAACAGTTAGTAGATCTACCACTACTATAATTTTAGGAACTGGTTTTAATATACTTTGTTTCAAATCAAGAATTTGTCGTCTCAGGGCAGAGCAGAGTTTAAGGTGGTCTGATATGCTTCTATTCTATCCTTGTGTTTATATTCTTCATTCATAGGGAAGCTTTAAATGATACTTTCTCAGGGGAAATTCAAGGAAATCAAGGCTATAGTCCTCCTAAAAGGTCAAGTTACGGTCCAGAAGAAAATGGAATTAAGCCATTCTGGACAATGACCAGAGTATCTTATCAAAACCCAACATTTAGAAGAGTGGTGAGTTGTTTATTAGGCAGATTTTACAATACAAAGGACCACGGGTTCACTGAGCATACTGCTGCTTTGTGAGAAATGCCTGTCAGGGTGCTTCCAAGCAGGAGGCAAGCAATTTCCCTGTTATTGTCTCTAAGAATTTTGTCCTCTGACACCCACACTGATTTCCACAGGGAAACAAAGCTCAGTATCGATAAGCAGGCCAACCCAAAACAGACCAGAGCCCCCCTAGAGCCCCTGAAGGTCCAACTTAAAGAACAGACTGCTCCGATCACTTCAGATTTTCTGTCCAGCTGCAGTCCTTCCATTTCTGTTTCCTGCCCACAATGGAAAAGGACCATGGGAGCAAGGACACAGCAAGCTATGAGAAGCAGTTATTCCAGGCCAGGCAACATAAAGCTGAAGGCATCAGAAAAAGACCCTTTATCAGAGAGCAGCCCCAAACAGGAAGCTCAGCACACGGTGTTAAGTTCACCCTCGAAGGATTCTTCCTATACACACACTGTTTCTGGTCTGAACTGGTCAGAAAAATATAAATAGATTTAGAGGGCCATCTGGTTTAGTGTGGACATGTCAAATGTTTGGGATAGTACTTTCAATCTTAAATACTTCACCCATAAATATTCTAATGTAATCTACAACTAATTTATTGAATGGCACTCAAAGCAGGAGGAGAGAGGAGCATACCTTCCTGGACTCAAACACCCAGTGACTTTTTCCATCTTCATCAATATGATTCCACCAACGCAGGCCAACCATTAGTCGACCTGTGACATTCTGGTAAAGATTAATATACATATGCTTTAAAAACATTATTTAAAGATCTACCATAAGGTCATACCTCAGTGTCACCTTTCATAAACAAAATAGCGCCTGTTTTACCTCCGTAATACTGTTTTATACCATGACATACCAGGCCTGGGTAAAAGATGAAACAAAATGGCAATGGGAGGACCAGCAGGGTGGGGGTAACAGCATAAACACCTTCACCAACATTACCCTCCCCTTCCCCTCCTGAACTCCTGTCCTTTCTCCCATTCCCTAACGTGTTCCTAAGCCCCTTGCTCATTAGCCACTCTGACCTATTTTTCCTATATATCCTGACTGTAGCTACATGTATTTTGTAACTGTATATCTCTAAAAATGGTTGTTATGGGCTGAATGTTTATGCTCCCCCCAATTCTGTATGTTGAAACATACAGAACCCCCCAACATGTGGTGTTAGGGGGTGATGAGGATTAGATGGGGTCATGAGGGTGGAGCCCTCATGGATGGGATTAGTGCTCTTATAAGAATCAAGGGAGAGCTTTCAACTGAGAAAGACAACGGTTACAGGTACTGGCCTTCACTCAGTACCTCAAAGGTACCAAGTTCTCTTCCCTAGTAACATAACAAATTACTCTGATAGCATTCCTAATGTTTATTTACTCAACAAATATTTACTGAGTGTGTAATAATATGGTGATAGCAGGTACGTTTCCTATCCTTTTGGAGATTTAAGTGCTGTGGGGAAGAGAGACAGTCAACCAATGTGTGTATGTTCCATTACTGAACATGCTAACTACTGTGAGAGAGAAGGGTGGGCTTCACAAGTCTAACAGGGAAAAATGACCTAGTCACTGTATCTGAGGAATCAACACTGGGAATGAAATGTAAAGGATAAGTAGGAATCAATAATGCAAGAAATTTTTAATCAGTGGCATCCACTAATAGAGTTCAGGGGTTCTGTGAACTTGGATGGAGAAAAACTGTATCTTTATTTTCACTAACTTCTGGCTAAAATATAGTTTATCTTTCAATTATGAATGTAGACAATTAACCATGGTAGAATTAACAGTACCTGAGGTATTATCACAATAAAACCACAGATACTTTTCACATTAAACTATACTTGTTGCAGATATCACAAAATATTAAGTTCATCATTGCTTTCAGAGTAATTAGGCCTAATACTAGGTCTTACTATTTAGTACATAAATAAAGTACATACCATTAAATCAGAAAATGTGTCATTTTAATGTTTTCATTATACTTCAATATAAGTGACTTCCTTTGACTTCCATAGTGATATTTAATCTTAATGTGTTTTCTTTTCTGTATTTAAAAACACTATTCATAGCTTCATAAGACTACCAAAGAAATCCATGGCACAGAAACAGATCAGGAATCACTGTGTTGAGGTAATGTGTGAATGAGAACAATCCACCAGGTGGATAAGCAGGCATGGAAGCCCTTAGGAAGAAAGTAAAATCTATGGGTTCATGAGACTTGGTGATTGGGATATGAAGAAGGCAACTCATACATTTTTGGCTTGCTCACGTAAAAAGAAAAAATAAAAGTTGATCCAAGGCCCTATGAAAGGGAACCCTGGTGGAAGAGCTGCATCTTGGGGGCTGGAAGACAAAAAGCAGTATTTCACACATGTTGAATTTGAGGTGCCTCCAAGAAAGTCAAATAAAATTGTCAAGAAGACAGGGACTTCCGGACAAGATGGAGGCATAGGTGGACGCACCGTACCTCCACGCACAACCAAGATAGGGACAACAACAATTTAGAAACAGAATAACATCCAGAAATGACAGAAAATTGATCTGAATGGAAGTCAGACAACCAAGAAGTTGAATTAGACCCGAGCATCCAGACCAGTAAGAGGGGTGGAGATGAGCAGCCAGGCGCAGGTTGCAGCGTGGAGAGCAGAGAGCAGTGGGACCAGGCGCATAAGGCATCTAGGGCACGCAAGACCACAGCAGGTGGACCCTGAGTGTGCAGGCAGCAGCTGGCAGACCCCAGCCCAGGGGTGGCAACCAGCAGCCAGCAGACCCAGTGAGGAGGCGATTGTAAAGCAAAGCAGTGCTCACAACCCAGAATCACAGCGCTGGGAAATAGAGCCTCGGGACACTGATTGAGGACACTTGTGGGAGAGAGACACCCAGCCTCACAGGGGAGGTCCTTGGAGGGTCCCACGGCATGCACAAGCCCAACCACAGGGGAATTGGCACCAGAGGGGCCCAGTTTGCTTGGGGGAAGCAGCAGAGGGGACTGAGGTCCCACGGAGAACAGAGCAACCACCCTTGTTCCCTCTTGACCCCACCCCCACATACAACATCACAACCCAGTGACTGGGGTACCCTGCCCTGGTGAACACCTAAGGCTCCGTCCCTTACTGTAACAGGTGAGACCAGACCAAAAAAAATAAAAAGAGAGATGGCTCAAACAGAAGAACAAATCAAAGCCCCAGAACCCATCACTTTAAGTGACCGAGAAATAGCCAACCTATCAAATGCACAGTTCAAAACACTGGTGATCAGGATGCTCACAGAATTGGTTGATTTTGGTCGCAAATTAGATGAACAAATGCAGACTCTGATAAGAGAAATGAAGGAAAATGCACAGGGAACCAATAGTGATGGGAAGGAAACTGGGACTCAAAACAATAGAGTGGACCAGAAGGAAGAAAGAAACAACCAAAGAGGAAAGAATGGAGAAATAAGAATTCAAAAAAATGAGGAGAAGCTTAGGAACCTCCAGGACATCTTTAAATGTTCCAACATCTGAATTATAGGGGTACCAGAAGGAGAAGAGGAAGAGTTAGAAATTGAAAACTTATTTGAACAAATAATAAAGGAGAACTTCCCCATTCTGGCAAAGGAAATAGACTGCCAGGAAGTCCAGAAAGCTCAGAGAGTCCCAAAGAAGTTGGACCCAAGAAGGAACACACCAAGGCACATCATAATTACATTAGCCAAGGTAAAAATGAAGGAGAGAGTCCTAGAAGCAGCAAGAGATAAGGAGGCAGTACCCTACAAAGGAGTTCCCATCAGATTGTCAGGCTGATTTCTCAAAAGAGACCTTACAGGCAAGAAGGGGCTGCAAAGAAGGATTCCAAGTCATGAAAGGCAAGGACCTACATACATCCAAGATTGCTCTATCCAGCAAAGCTTTCATTTAGAATGGAAGGGCAGATAAAGTGCTTCTTGGATAAGGTCAAGTTAAAGGAGTTCATCATCACCAAGCCCTTATTTTATGAAATGTTAAAGGGGCTTATCTAAGAAAAGAAGATTAAAAAAAACATGTATAGTAAAATGACAGCAAACTCACAATTATTAACAACCACACCTAAAACAAAACCAAAAGAAACTAAGCAAACAACTAGGACAGGAACAGAACCACAGAAATGGAGATCACACGGAGGGTTAGCAACAGGGGAGTGGGAGGAGGAGAGAGGAGGAAAAGGTACAGAGAATAAGTAGCATAGATAGGCAGAAAATAGACAGGAGGAGAGCAAGAATAGTATGGGAAATGCAGAAGCTAAAGAACTTATGACACATGGACATGAACTAAAGGGGGGGGGATGTGGGTGGGAGAGGGTGTACAGGATGGAGGGGAGTGAAGGGGGAAAATGGGACAACTGTAATAGCATAATCAATAAAATATATTTTTTTAAAAGACAGATGGATAGGTCTGGAATAGCAAAGACAAACCTGGGCTGGAGACACAGATCTGGGAGTCAACCTGGCTTAGTGATACGCATCTGAAATCAGAAGCATAGATGACAGTACTTAGGAAAAGAATAGAGGAGAAAAGGAGGAGCCTTAAAGACTATAATTCATTTGGTAGAAGTGCTAACATTTACAGGATAAGTAAAAGAGAAGAGCTGGCAAACACCAAGACCAGCCAGAGGTCTATTTTATTGGCATTTCAAGTAACAGTTCTTAGAATGTTTCTTCCTCCATTTTACCATTTTCTAATTCTTTACTTTCTACTTTTATCAATATTAATTTTCCTAATTTCTCTCAAGCTGATTGCTTTTGTTTTTAAAACTTCTGCACCTGCCCTGGCTGCTTGGCTTAGTTGGCTAGAGCGTTCTCCCATACACCAAAAAGTTTCAGGTTCAGTCTCTGGTCAGGGCACATATCTAGGTTGTGGGTTCAATCCCCCATCAGGGCTTATATGGGAGACAACCAATCAATGTCTCTCTCGTTCCCCCTCCCTCTCTAAAATCAATAAATACATCCTCAGGTGAGGATTGAAAACAGTTTAATTTAAAAAAATTCTGGACCTCTAATAATAAAAACTTTTCATCTATTTTTTTTCCTCTGAATTCAGCTTCATACACATTCCCAAAGTCTATGTGTAGATGATCATTGTCATTAGGTATAAATAATCTATTATTTATACTTTTAAAATATCTTTAGGTATAATCTATTATTTATACTTTTTATTTTCTTTTAAAGCCAAGATATTTAGCAGGTTGGCTCTTTTTAAAATTCCAGTTTTCACTATCACTTTTTATTAATTTCTAATTTTGTTGCACTGGGCTAGAAAATGTACCTGCTTTAAACAATATATTTCAGTTTTCTTTATCGTGACAATTAATTTGTACAAATGTTGTACAGGAACTGAACTCTTGCCATTAAATTATCCTTGGACATAAAAAGTTTCAAATATTGCTATTAAATGGACCTTTTTACTTCACTCAGGTCCTTTAGACATTATTTGTTTTTTGTTGTTTTGATCAATCAGAGACAGGGGCTTGTTAGAATAGAACCCTATCATAATGTTCCCTCCATCTTCTTCTAGTGTCCCTAAGTTTTTAACTATACATAGTTTGACATAATGTGATTTTGTGAATGAGCCTCACTGTGACTCATAAAATAACCTTTTTTGTTCCACTGAACGCTGTCTTACTCTCATTTCTATTTTGTCTAATGGCAATATTCTAATGACAAATTTCTTTTTGTTTGAACTGGTCTGATGTTATCTTTGCCTTTTTACACTTTTTATAATGTCATGATTTTAGTTAGAATTTTTTGGTTGGACTTTGATTTTTGACGCAATCCGAAAATTCTTATCTTTAAGAAGAGAATTTAATCAAATCACATCTACTGTTGTAACTAATTTGCTACCACTTCCATCAATCACTTTGTACTATGTCTTGTGATATTTAAGCTTCCTCGACATGTGCTTTCTTATATTATCTTGCTTTATAAAGTATGTTTTCGTTACTCTTATCTTCTCCAATAAATTACATAACTTATTTTAAATTTTACTAATAGCTATCATTAAAATTTTAAAACCATTGTTTAACATTTTTTACCCCATCAGAGTAAGGAATAAAATAATAGCAACATATGACCATTAACATTTAAATTTAAAATTTTAAAAAATAATTTTATCTTTTTATTTTATTTTTTTAAAGATTTTATTTATTTATTTTTAGAGAGGGAAGGGAAGGAGATAGAGAGAGCGAGAGAAACACAGAGTGAGAGAAACATCAATGTGTGGTTGCTGGGGGTTATGGCCTGCAACCCAGGCATGTACCCTGGCTGGGAATCGAACCTGCGACACTTTGGTTCACAGCCCGCGCTCAATCCACTGAGCTACGCCAGCCAGGGTTATTTATTTTATTTTTTAATGATTCTCTCTCTTCTTTTGACAACTGTACTGAGATTTATATAATTGTGACACATCTGTGTTCTAACTAGGTTTGGAACCCTGCCTACCCCCTTCCCAAGTTCATTTAACGATCTCCCTACCTTGACTTTTTAATTGTGTTTCACATAGCATTGGTTTGGATATCTGTAAATAATTTTGCCGCAGATAAAAAGGTGACATTTTTTAAGCCCTCATTAAAAAAAAAAACAGCTTATCTGAAAATATACTTTTGGGCCACATTTTTTAAAACCCTAAACCCAGAAGTATTTAGTTTTAAGAACTTGGAAATTACCAGGAAGAACTGAGCAAAGGCCATGTTCTGTGTGGCTAAACAGAAATTACATGAACAAGAACAACAAAAAATACATTCCTCAAGACAAAATTGTGACCAGGATACAGTAAACACCTTAGAGCATAAAGCAACAGAAGAAATTCAAAGAAAAACAATCCAAAGAAGACTGTAGAAAAGGAAAGCCTAGAGAAAACAGACTTTTATAATTTTTATTCTCAGCATTTTGTGGCCTATGGAAACCAGCTGCCAGCAAACCAATCACTTCTGATATCTGTAAGAATCAAAAGATCTGAAACGGCTGGGTTGGTGGATGTGAACACATTTGTAACATCTTACTGGTCTTTGAATCAATATACATGTCTCTGAAATTCAAAAATTAGCTCTTGCTTTTTTTTTCTTTGATTTTTCCCCTACCATTTTACTATGAAAATTTCAAAACACATAGATAAGTCTAGTTTTGCACTGAACACAGAGGGTCCATAGTTAATATTTTGAAAGTTACTACATCATCTATCCATTCATCCATGTACCCATCCATCCCTCTACTTACCACTTTTGAGTTTGAAACCACTTCTTACACTCCTCTCTATCCTCCACAACAGGGTTTCTCAACTTCAGTACTGCTGACATTGCGGGCTACATAATTCTTTGTTGTGGGGAGCTGTCCAATCTGTGCATCTTAATATGTTTAGAAGCATCCCTAGCCTCTACCCACTAGATGTTTCAAATAGCACACTTCCCCCACCTCAGTCGTAGTAACCAAAAATGTCCTCAGACATTGACATGTGTCCAGAGTGCAAAACTGGCCCCAGTTAAGAAATACTGCCCTACAGCCTTCACAAATGATGGGTACTCCTGAAGTATTAGTGAACAAACTACCCTGGGGTCTTTCTGGAAATCATATATGGCACAGCTGGAGGTGACCCTGAAGCAAAACCTAAGAACTGGATTAGACACTATATGCAGGTAAAGCAGCTGCGGTCATATTTATTTGTTTAATTTTAAGGCTGATGTAGGTTGACATAAGGCGCACACAAGTGAGTAGAATAACCTATATGTGATCTGATATACTTGGCACTTTAACAAGAAAATAATTTAATGCAAATCCAAAATGCTAAGATTCAGGGGTTTCTTTTTTACTGTTTATATGCCATTCAATCTCATCATATTAAATGGTTTCAAATAAAAATAATCAAACCTACCTTGACTGCCCAAAAGTCACATGACAACAACAAGATAATTGTCACCATACAAGCAATAAAGCTGCTGCTCAACAATTCACAGAGAAGATAGACAACAATTGCACTGACTCGAAAGAATAAATGGAAAAATGATGCCACTGGATGTCTGAAAACCAAAACATAAAAAAAGAAATGCAATTACACTTAGGTACTGCAGATGTTGATGAAAAATCTTCAGCCATAGCATAACCATGCAGTTTGGTCAAAATAAAAGAGATGCTGTAAGGAAGAAGAAAACCGCGTACTTTTCTTTTTTAGTAATCCCATTATTTGACCAAGCTCTGCTGTCACAGTCAATATACTATGTAAACATGACGTTAATACCTCATTGAATATAAACTTTCACAAAATATATAAGAAGAAACTTAACCAAGCTTGGAGAAATATGGTAATCATACTCTCAGGATTAAATCCTATTTTCCTATGTCCAAAAATCATGACAAAAAAATTTCTAGGTCTTCAGAAACCACTTCAGGCCTTAGACAAAGTAACCATCAGGAAGAGCCGTTTTTTTTAACAGCTCTACTGAGATATAATGCATATACCATACAATTCACCTATTTAAAGTATATGTTTCAATAGTGTTTTATGTATTCACCGACTGTACAACCATCACCATAATCCACTTCAGAACTCTTTCATTGTCCCAAAGGGAACCCATACCCACTGGCAGTCCCTCCCCATTTATCCCAGCCCCATCCCTTCTCTAGCCCTAGGCAACCATAAATGTACCTTCTGTCTCTATAGATTTGCCTACTCTGGACATTTCATATAAATGAAATTGTACAATATGTGTTTTTTTGTGACTGGCATCTCTCGTTTTCAAGGTTTAGGTAGAACTTGATTTCATTAAGTGAATTTCTTTAGAGAGAACTAAATTTGAAATAGAAATATTTGCCTTGATATTTTCATGTCAGTTTATACAAAAGATGTAATTTTGAAATTTGCACAATAAATCAAAATGTCATAATGTATCTACAGAAGCCATCTAAAGAAATGATGCATTCTTAGTGCACAGTAGCTAGAATGAACACACTAATGTTTACTTAATTGGATTTGCAGATTTGAAAACTCACTGTTGAGTAAAATTCCATATGCCACTCATTCCCAAAGAAAATCTGAAATGCCATTTTTGCCTCAGATCTAAGATCACATTAGTGATATACAACATTCACAAGTACATCACAACCAGTCTTCCCCGAATCAGCTGGCACCAGTCTACAAGCGTAATGGCACTGGACATAAACACCACTCTTAGAAATTACCTTCATACCTGATTTTGGATTTTCTGGGTCTAGCAGCTGCTTCCTCTTCTGCATCAAACAGTGCAACATCTTCAGTGTCATCATTACTATCCTAATAAGAAAATGAAATAGCGATGAAGCAAAATGAATTCAGTATGCACATGCTGACTGCATGCAAGGCAGCACGCTAGTCAGAATGGAGAACATGATTAAGACATGGTCAAAGCCAACTGGAATTCACAACCTAGAAAAAGCGCAGTTCCTTCACCCCCATCCAAATCATCTGGCAAAACCCCCACATGATAATCCAAGTATCTGCTGTCTCCATCCCTACCCAAGCTATTGAGCCCTGTGAGAAAACCACCAGTGTGCAGAGGATGCTCCTGCAAAGTTAGAGACCACTGAGGCTATGGGGGATAAACTCAGTAATTTTGGCTCTTTCCAAGAATCATCTGACTTGCATTATTTCCCTGACCCATTCTCACAAATCTCTCTTTTTCTCCAAAAGCAAAATCATCTATTTGTGCTCAGAATCACTTCTTTTCCTGCTGTCTTAGGGGCTTGTTCCATCAATTTTATTTACACTTTTTTATACCTTTAAAGGTTTTTACTGGGTCTAATTAGCATATAAAATTCTTCAGGGGTCCCTTGTAGCAGGGGTCCCTTGTAGCAGGGGTCCCCTGTAGCAGGGGTCCCCAACCACCAGGCGTTGGACCAGTAACAGTCTGTTAGGAACAGGGCCACAAGCAGAGCAAATCCTGTCCACCCCCCTTCTCTGAAACCAGTCCCTGAAGGTTGGGGTCTGTGGCGTTATAGCATGAAAAAAAATTTAAGAAATCCTAACCTTGAATCTCTCCTTCTATCTTCTACTTTCTTTTTTTCTTTTTTTAAAGATTTTATTTATTTGTTTTTAGACAGAGGGGGAGGGAGAGAGGGAGGGAAACATCAATGTGTGCTTGCCTCTAGAGCACCCCCTACTGGGGACCTGGCCAACAACCCAGACATGTGCCCTAACTGGGAATGGAAGCAACAACCCTTTGGTTCACAGGCTGGCACTCAATCCACTGAGCCACACCAGCCAGGGCTATCTTCTTACCTTCCTTCCTACAGTGTTCCTTCCTTTCACAACTTTAGGCTCCTAAGAATGGTTCACATTTCAACTCAATGCAATTGACTTTCAGCTTCAACCACAAGATATCTGCTGTTTATACCTTTACTGGTGCCAGCCAGTCACCAGCCTCCCTGCTTCCATTTCTAGTCATATGCTCAGCTCTACTCCAGCCTCTCATTATCTACTGAGTAAACCTCCCAACATGGAAATAATACCACATTATCCTCTGCCCCAATTCTTCTATGGCATCCCTACATGTACAGGATAAAACTTACTCCTTCACACACAGCATAGATCTCCTGATGTGATCCCCCTACTCACCTTCTGATACTCCTTCCCACTGGACAGTACAGCGATAGTTACTGAATGTTCTGAAAACTTGATGCTCTCCCCTCCTCCTGCCTTTCATGTTTTCTCTACCCAGAAATCTCTTCCCTTCCCCACCCCCTACACAGCTCACCTTTAGGCAAACACCAAATCATCTTTTAAATTTCAACTCAAATACTGAATTAGCAGAGAAAGTTTCCCTGAAATCCCCAAGCATACCATTTCCCCTGTTCCCACAGCACTTGAACAAACTGCCATTTGGACGTCCTTCCTGCAAGCCTACTCCTACCTCCATCCAGACGCTACGGAAGGAGCCCTCATATCTAGCAAAGCGCCAGGCCAGGCAGTGTAGTGTTTGTTGAAGCATGAAGAACACAGAGGAGGCGATCCCCTGTAGTATGTGGCAGACTGGGAACAGTGCCAGGAGAAACATAAGTGCAAATGGGAGCACAGGAAATAGGCTCTGGAGAAGCTTCCTGCAGGACAGTTTATCAGCTGGGCCTCAACAGAACAAGTCAGTCTCCTGCTCCTTCTAGTCCCTTGACTAGGTACACTTTCAAAGGTACAGAAGCAAGAATACACACAAATGTATAGGGAAAGACCAAGGAGCCCACAGGGTAAGTGAACGGTGGAAAAAGTAAGGTAGGAACTAAAGCTAGAAAGGTAAAATGAATTCAGATCTATGAGATTAATGGTTCTCAACCTTGGCTATAGGCTGTAATTACACAGCGTGCATTAAAAATAAATAAAAATTTTAAAAACCTGATACCTGGGCCCCACCCCAAAGTTCAGATGGATGGTCTGGGCATCAGGATTTGTCAGAGCTCTCTAGGTGATGATAATGTGCATCCAAGATTGAGATCTACTGTATGCTGCTCTTGATTGAAAGAGTGCCATCTCCATCCTGCAGCCAAGGTGATCTTTTCAGAGTAGGTCATGTCATTCCCCTGTTTAAAACCCACAGCACTTTGGCTAAAAAACAGACTCCTGTCCCTACATGTCCAGATCTGACCCCTACACACCTCTATGAACTTTCTCAGGCCACCCAGTGCATTAACTGTGGTAGGCCCAATCATGTGTCTTCTCACATTACCCAAGAAACCCGAGTTCTAATCCCTGGATCTTGTGAATATGTGCGTTTACTTGGCAAAACAAATTTCGAAGAAGTGATTAAATTAAGGATATTGAGATGGAGGCCATCCAAGTGGCCCCAGTGATGTACTTAGAATGGTCCTGATAACAGAAACACAGGAGGGTCGGAGTCAGGAAAGGTGGTGAGGCCATGAAAGCAGAGGCCACAAGAGTAAAATGGAAAAGTGGCCACTGTTTCTAACAGGGGACCTCAGTAACAGTAGTGTCTGGGCCATAGCAATCCTCCACCAAGGGAAAAAACACCAATGATAATCTAAGTGAAAGTGCACTTTACAATATTTTTTTAAATAGGAAGAGAGTATTTAATTATTCATACTAGTCTCTGGTTGTCAAGTTGTGGACTGTAATTAAATCCATTAACCGCCATCAATTCAGGATCAGTTTGGCAACGTAAACTTGAAAGCAAGGCCCAAGCGGAGGCTCCCATTACTACAGGATCACAACGCACCCAGAGAGGTGAGGCTGCCACCCCACACTCGCCTGTCCCCAGACAGCTGAGAAGACTGCAACCTCCCGCGAGGGCGTCTAAACGGGCGGGCACATAAACGACCAGCGCTCCGCGCGGGTTGACAACGCGCTTTCCCACACCGGGATCTCTTGTCCCTCAGCACAACCTGGGTCACGATCCACCAGAGGCTTCGGGGCGCCCAGCCACGTCCCCCGGACAACAGCCCTTGGCTCTCCCGCCCACCCCGTTCCTCCTCCGACTCTTGCCGAAAGCCAGGAAGCCGACTCAACGGCCCCGGGACGCCCAACTTGCGCCACACCACTTTCCAGGGCGAGCCCCCAGGGACCGCCACCCTTTCGACGCGCCAAACCCCCTCACCTGCGACAACATCACGACCCCACTCCAGCCCCACTTCCGGGCGCCACGTCAGGCCAGGTGGAGCCAAAGTACACCCCAGCCCGATCCCGCTTCCGCTTCTAGGCGCCTCGCGGGAGGAGCGTAAACGGGGACTGGGCGAGCGTGTGGGCGGGGCGCACGGCTAGACGAAGCGAGTGGGCGGAGCGACTCCTGGACGCGGGGACCCAGGGGTGGGCCGAGCTCGAGGTCTGGGTGCTGGTGGAGGGTCGCGTAGTGCGGGCTGGGGCGGGACGAGAAAGTGGGCGGGGCGACCAGAGATCGAGGCTGGCTGTGCGGTCCTGGGCGAGTGCTGGTGAAAGACCGAGGAAAACCAAGCTGGGAGGAGATCCTTAGTCCCGCTGTTGGCTTCAGAGTGAAAGCTTCGTGGTTTGTCGCGTGGAGCTGTTGTTGCTCCCTAAGATCTGTCATTACCACCAGCATCGGTGTCCCTGAAGGCGGGGCTAGGGTGGATGGCTTTATTATTCCATAGTTGCATGTTGTTTGAACGTTTTACTGGACATGTTTTCCTGTACAGTATCCTATTTGTACCTTTACATTTTAGAAGCAATTGAAAAATGTTAATGTGGTCCTGAGAAGGGGTAAAAAGTTATTAAGAGGTACAAAGCAGGAGGATTGAGTAAATAATGAAGGGTTATACCACGGGAAGAAAATGGAGACCGGGAGACTCGGAAACAGTAAGAAACAGAGTTTGAGAACTAGCTCTGGAGTTGAGCTTCTGGATTTGAGTCCGCCCCACCCCCCTCCACAGGCTCTCATCTCCACATTCACCAATTATCTAATCTCCATGTAAATCTTTCCTCAGTTGTAAAGTGGGTCTGATAATAGTAGCCTACAAGGTAAGTACGTAGTAAACTGAAGATGGTATTCTTACTACTGTTTTAAGTTTAGCTGCTGATGTTGTGATCTTGTGAGAGGACAGAATAGTGAGAAGCTAGGAAAATTCCTGGGCTAGAGGAACGGGGAAACAGACAAGAAAATGAAACAAGGCCAAACAGTTTGAGAAACTTACAGTCGCATGGTAAATTGCAAGACCTTATCTCCCCTAAGGACAGTTGAGAGCTGATGGTTTATACCTCTCCTCCCTGACCAGAAAATACATAGCTTAAATCACTGGTCTGGGAACTTCCTTTAATACTTCTCCTTGCAGCTGCAAGATACAACAGGTGTCCAGGGAAGAGAAGAATGTTAGGCAGGATAGATAGTAAACCAAAGCAGGGAGGGAAAATGAGACGTGTCTCACCCATTAATTCAGCAGTCCTGTTCTGAAAATCACAAGAGAAACACAAGATAAACAACTATCTTTTATTGAGCTTATTCACAGGGCTTAAGCCCTGTGAAGAAGAAGGAGAAAAACAAGACCAGGGTGCACCTGTGGGGAGAAAATGACATTGGTCAGCACCCTGTAGCCATAGAAACTCACGCCAGTGCAAGAGCCTCCTCTATCCTCTGACCCCAATAAAAAGCCTGAGCGCTCACACACACAGGCACAACTCTCTCTGATTCCCAGAGTTTCCTCCCTCTGCAGAGCTGAAATAAATCTTATTTTCACTATCAGTGTCCCTGAGTTAATTTTTTTTTATTTGGGGAAACAAGAAGCCAAATTGGTTTGGGGTTTGGTTCAGTAACAATCTTGCCCATATGAAGGACCTGAAATTCAGGGACTGTAAGTAATCTTTGACACTGATTGTAACAGCATCCTAACTATATGGTTTATGGGTCAAACTGCTGTTGAAGTCTCCTGGGATAATATGTACTATCACAATTCCTTAACTGAGAGGATTCTTTCTCTTAATATCACTACTTTTACATTGCTATTTGCCAATGCTACTTTAAACTTAATAATTAAAATTTGTTTTTCAATTTGGCAAACAGTTGTATTCCTGCACTTAGAAGTGAAAAGTAGAGTCTGTGAACAGGTTACCTGTACATCTAGACTGCCCATGCCATGTTTTTGGTGGCCCGTCTAAAGTACAGATTGTGGGGTTTTGTCGGGTTGGGATTTTTGTTGTTTTGTTTTGTATTCTATTTGAGTTCATTACCATCTCTAAAGAAAAAAAATAAGACAGTTCTTCCCTATTGTGTTTCTCTCCTGTGTGTCTTTACTAAATTTCATTAAATTCTGACACTGTACCTGGAGATAGCATCAGATCACTCAGTAAGTTAAGGGCCCAATCCTACAAAAGACTCACTCAGGGGTGCTGTCTCTCTCTCTCTCTCTCTCTCTCTCTCTCTCTCTCTCTCTCTCTCTCACACACACACACACACACACACACACACACACATTCCACACATTCAGATCCCAGTCATAAACCCACGTTATCACCTGTGCTTCTGACCAACCAGCTGTGGTTCAGAGGTTCCAAGGACCCCTCCCCAGGTGAGATTAACTTGTAAGAGCAGCTCACAGAACTCAGGAACACATTTGCTTACATTTACTAGTTTGTTAAAGGCTATGATAAAGGACACAGATGGGCAGATAGATGAAGAGGTATTTAGGGTGCGGTCTGAAAGGGCCCTGAGTGCAGGAGTTCCTGTGGAATTGGGGTATGTCAACCTCCTAGAATGGGAATGGGTTCACCAACTTGGAAGCTATCCAAACCCCTTACTGTTAGGATTTTATGGAGCTTCTTCATGCAGACATGTTCAATCATTAACTCCATTTCCAGCCCCTCTTTCCTCTCTAAAGAATGGGAAGGTGGGCTGAAAATGTCAAGCTCCTAATTATCACTTGGTCTTGCTGGTGACCAGATCCCATCCAGGAACCTGCCCAGAGTCACCTCATTAGAACAAAAGTTACTCCTATTGCTCTTATCACTTAGGAATTTATAAGGGGTTAGGGAGCTCTGGGCCAGGAGCCAGGGGCAGAGGCCAATATATATTTTCTATTATCTCACAGCATCCTGTGGCCATGCTGAGCCACTGAGTAGGAGCTATTCCCTTTGGATGGGACTTGAGGTCCCCAATGGGCCATGCCGTTGTGGTAGGATGCCCTCTTCTAAATTACCTGCCTGAACCCTGATACCATCCTGAGGAGGTACAAGTAGAAACCTCAACACATTTTATGTTAGTGACCCCTCTTTGTAAACACGATAAATATGTTTAATTTTCTTTCATAGGAATTAGCCCTAATAAGGAAAGCACACATAATGTTTTCAATTGGAATAGGTCAATGCTGTCAAGGACTTCTATTAGAGTCTTTTTTTTTTTGAGACTTCAATAAAAAGGAGCTATGAGTTTAATATGCCAAATGTAAATATTTGCAAATTGATACACTTGTTGAAAATTCTGAAATCTGTGTGCAAATGTAGGCAGGGTTTTGTCACCCAAATTCTTTTTTTAGATACATAATCCTTTTTTTTCCAAGAAAGTTTTTATTGTTGTTTAAATACAGTTGTCTCCATTTCCCACCACCACTTTCCCCCAACCCATCCACCCCTACCTCCTACCCTCAATCCTACCCCCCTCAACATAATAAAGGCCTATATGAAAAAACCTTCGGGCAACATCACACTCAACAGGCAAAAACTAAAAGCTTTGCCACTAAGATCAGAAACAAGATAAGGGTGTCTGCTTTCACCTCTGCTATTAGATTCTTAACTGAACTCACTGAGCTTCATCAGGCTCCCATGGAAAAATACCAAGGAACTCCAATGTGTTATTCTGATACAATCTCATCAGTTCATTTGTTATAAAAATGATACTACAAAATTGATAGTGATAAGCGGTATTTAATCTCCAACAATCACTTCCCCACCCCCATCCATGAAACTGGGCTTCCATAGTCTCAGTGAATGGTTTTCAGTGGGAATGAAAGTGCTAATCTGTTCAAGCCTTGTTCTGTTTTCCTACTTTGATAATATCAATTCTTTGGCTTATAGGAAGATAATCAAGAGTCCCCACGTTAATTGCCAGGGAATAGTAAAAAAAAACAAAACAAGAAGCTGAACACCAACATCCAGTTGGTTTCCTTTTTATTGCAAGACATTGTAATTTCCCATGGGTGGTTCAGATAAATACATTTGGACCAAGTTCAGGGGCTGCTGTTTTCCCTTGCTTCATGTAATTATCTATAGGCAGGCCTTTGATCTTCCTGATCCAAGCAGCTTTGCTGGCTTTTTCTGGATTGACCACTCCAGTGGGCTTTCTGGACTGATATTCTTTCATCTTCGCTTCCTCATACTTTTTCTCCTCCCTCACGGTCAACAGCATGAATTCAGTGTTCACTCTAAAAGGATTGAGGGCCGTGTAGAAATGAGGCCGTTCTTTCTTGACAGAGTGGGCTGTTGTGCTTACTGGTGGAGGCAGCATGCGGTTTGGCTTAATGACCTGCAGGCTGGTTAAGGGACCAACACTATGCACTGTCCTGTCAGTTGAACTGGTTGCTCGGTCTTCACCTCTTAAGCTGCCAGCAAGCCTGGTGTGGATAATCATGGGCTGGGGTATGGTAGACTGGACTCGGGGACTGTGCAAAGACTTCTTCAGGTTAGGCTGCATTTTCTGGATTTCAAGGGGAATACTGGTTTGTTTCACGTCTATGGGAGGGTGGCTGGCTCTCAACCTATAAACTTCATGTTGGACTGATTTTCCCTTGAAACTAAGGACCTTCCTTGGGTGCGAAATTGAAGGTACCCAGGTATCAATGACTTGGGTCTGAGGCCTACGGGGATAGGCAAACTCCCCTGAATTATGGGCTTGCTGGAGGGCATTAATGGTCAGGAGGAACCCATCTGGCAACATAGAGATTTGCCAGGACTTTTTATGTAAGTGACTGGTCAGGTCTCCAGGAGTTTCCAGTTGTTCTTGTTTTGGTACTTTCTCTACATCGTCTGGTTTAAAAAAAAAAATAGAAAACCAATCAGTGTACCATCAAAACATTAAGTACTATCCATGAAAATTAAATTAATTGTAACACCTAGGCAAACTGAGATCTTTGTTGCTTGATGGATATGCCATCATGTGTGCAAAAATCCTCTATGATACCAGCAAGTACAACATATTCAATACAACTCTTTAACAAATACACTAGTGTGCAAATGTGTGTTAAGCTCTAGATGTACATATTTTGGAGAGAACATATGCGATCTCAGTGCTCCATATTTTTGAAACT